ATCCCATCATGGAGGTGATCATATTATACCAAATCTCATCATGGAAGTGATCTCATCATCATACGACTGCCAAACTACATCATAACTGCCAAACTGCTGAGAATCATGGCCCAGCCAAGCTGACACACAACCTTAACAATCACATATGCTAAGACATAGAAAACAGAAGAAAGAATCCCCTCCTCACAGATAGTCCTTGTTCATATGGGTGGCTTTTCTTAGTCTTTTTTTTTTCTGATTATCTGAGTATATCTTACAAATACATTTACTTGTCATTAAAAAAATCCAAACCCACCACTGTCGAGTCGATTCCAACTCACTTGTCGTTAGTATGTATTATTTAAGATGCTATATAATCAATACCCCTGAGATGAGTCCGGGTGTCATGTGCTCCCAGTCAGCGCTGGACTGTGGGGGCTGCACGTGTCCACGGCAGCGTTGGTCCGCCTGCTTGTGACTGTTCCCTCTCCCAGTCCCAGACCTCCCCACGGCCCACCCTGATCTCAGGGTGGCGCCCACTGCTTGGTACACCCTAGGAAAGGAACACAGGGACATTGCGGCTCTGTGTCACAGAGGGAACTCCACTGGGGCCTCAGGGACCCCATGCACCCAGTAAGGGTACCCCCATGTCTGGTTCTGGTTCTGGGTCAGCCTGGGGCTGTGCTGACACAGAGGGTCTTGGCCTGCAGAGCTGAGGCTGTCTTTCAATAGCAGCAGGGCCATGTCAAACCAGCATGGTACCTGCAGACGGGAAATGAAGCCACTTTTCTGATTCAAGAGCTGTCAGGCAACACTTCTGAGAGGGGAGAGGGAGGCCTCAAAAACAGCAATCAGCGTGACACGAAGACCGTGGCCTGCTGTGATGGGGACACCATGCTCTGAGCCTCACACCGTGTGACAGGGACACCGTACTGACCCCTCTCTACATCAGGGACACACACTGACCCTGCAGCGCACTGGTAACTCCAGCAGCCTGAAAGCCCCCCATACGTGCTTGCCTGCCCTTGGTGGAGGGGCCCTTGGGGTAGGAGTAGAACTCTTGCTCCACTTCTGCAGGCCACTAATCTCTGAGAACAGCCTAAGCTGGCCCTCATCAGCTGGACCTGCATCCCTGAAGCCGGCCATGAGCTGGACCTGTCAGGGGTCTAGGAGGGACCACTAGGCACCTGCCTGCGGCGTCTGCAGGGCTGTGGGTACCATGCCCCCATGCGTGCCCCCTCCCCGTGGAGGTGTGATGTCACACCTGCCCAGGGCCCCCGCACAGCAGAGGTGCTTGCAGGCCAAGGGCACAAGGGCAGGAGCTGCTGACGGGTCCTGAGGATGCTCTTGCTTTCTTGGTAATGGGGGCGGCCACAGGAACAGCACGGCCCCCTCCTCTACCCACTAGCCAACCCGTGGCATAGTCCTGCGCCCTGTAGCTGGGCCCCTGCACAAGCCAACAGTCCAGGCTGCTGAGGGTCCAGGTGTGGCTGCACCTGCGACCATTCTCCCTCCCGTGAATCTCTCACTTGGGCGGGACCCCTTCCTGTCTCCACCTTCCAACAATCTGGGGGCTGTTTCCTCAGAGTGCTCGGTTGCCCGGCTTCCTCACCTGCTGGTTTCTAAGAACCCCTATCCTCCCCAGTACCAGAACTCCAAGCCCATCCGCTAACCCTTCCCGATTCCCGGCCACCCTCAAACAAGCTCCCCAAAGGGCTGCTGCTATCAGAGCTTGGAGCAGCAAGTTCAATCTGAAGCCCCCAGGAGGCTCGGCTTTCTAGAACCACTGCCCACCTGCCCTGGGACCTGCAGTTGAGCTCGTATGATTTTTAAATAGGCTCTCTCCAGACTTAGCAATGTTTGGAATGGAAATCTGAGGGTCCATGGAGATCATTTTGGCTGCTGGAATAGTTTCTTGAGGGAAACCACTGATCTCATGCCCAAGCAGGCCCCCGAGGCCCTGGCAAATGTCCCCCCATGCTTCTCCTGAGGTTGGCAAATTAATGTCGGGCAGGGCTGGAGTTGGAGGAGTCAGCCTCCCTGCTCTTCTCTGCATGTGGGGGGCCATAGCTGGGTGGACTGGGGACTTGGCCTTCTCTCTGCATGCGTTGGGGCAGTGGCTGGGTGAACCAGGACTTGGCCCTGCTCTCTGGATGCAGGGGGGTAGTGGCCCATAGCTGGGTGGACTAGGGACACGGCCCTCTCTCTGCACATGGCAGGGGACGGTGGTGCTGTGGCTGGCTAAACTGGGGACTCAGCCCTGTTCTCTGCACATGGGGGCCTGTGGCCAGGTAAACCAGAGACTCAGCCTTCTCTCTGCATGGGGTAGGGGCTGCAGCTGGGTAAACCAGGGACTTGGCTCTGCTCTCTGCACATTGGGGGTTGCGGCCAGGCAGACTGGGGACTCGGCCCGCCCCAGCCGACAGTGGCTCCCCAGCTTGTGCCAGGCCTCCCGTGAGCAAAGGGTTAAGCTCGATTCCTCTGATTTCTATTTAACATCATGCTCTCCCGCAGGCAGCAGCTGTGCGCTTATTGTGGCTCTCATTATGCAGCCTGTGTTGCTAATGGCCTGTGACAAAAGCGCAGGCTCCCAGGCTGCACCCCCGAGAGCCAATTAGAAGCACACACTCCCTTCCTGTTTGCAGCGCATCACAATGAAATTAAACAGAATTTCAAAATCATTTTCTCCTGAAGACATCTCTTTACAATAATTAATGCATGCTATTCCTCTGGACTGGGACGCTCATCAGGCGGGGACCCAGGGATTTTAGCCCCACTGGCCCACTGCACCATGGCCTCCCTCAGTGCCGAGCCTTGCTAGGGCCAAGCCATGGGCTAGGTCCTGTGCTGGTACAGAAACCCCTGTGGCTTTTATCTGAAGTTAAGAATAAACGGGCTCAGGCAGCAGGAGTGCAAGGCAGGCAGAGCTGGTGCAGAGCAGCATCTCCACACCGGGATGGGGAAGATTAGCCTATTTGACAGGATCTGCAGAGGGTGTGGTGAGGATGGTGCTAACATGCCACAGCACCCTGTCACTGACAGAGGCTCAGGGGGCACATGGTGTCACCATGGCTTTCCGGTCAAACCATGGGCCTGGTGACAGGCAGCCCCGACGGCCACTAGGATCTGGCTCCACACCTGTGAGTGTGTGAGCTCCCAGGCACCGGCCTGCCCTCAAGGCTGATGTGACGTCCACTCTTTGAACCTTGTGACTCTACATGCCCCCTTCTGGCCAGCCCAGGGGTCCACAGCCAGAGCACCTGGAGACGCTCAGCTGGCCTCATGCCCTCAGCCGACCCGGTGCCCCTCAGCTGGCGTAGAGACCTGGAGAGGGCCGATGTCCATGGCTTTGCTCTGTGACCACCCCTTTCTATGTGGTTTAGATACCCCTGACCGCAGCTGTTGGGAAGTGGAGAAGCAGCAGAAGGAAGTGTTGCTGAGGGTGATCGAGTGAAAAATCCCATTGCAGATGGCCCTGGGATTGTAGGGTGGCGTTGGAACCGCCCTGACCAACCTGTCGGCCCTAAGTGCTGCTCCCTTGGAAGCAGGAGCCACTCAGTGTCCCCAGTCCTCAGAAGAGAACACACTGTCTGCCCCTACCCTGGAGGTCCCCACTTGATGGGCTTGCAAACTTATGGGGTGGCTGGGTCCCAGGGCACTCCGACACTACTGGGGTTTCCGCCTGCCCACCTGGCTCCCCTGCTCTGTGACCTTGGGCACAGATGGCAGCAGTTTCTAGGTGAAGACTGGCTGAGCAATGTGGCTGGCCCCCCTCCATCCACACCGCTCCAAGCCGATGAAACAGACAACACACAGGGGTCTGGGGCAGTAGGTGCCGCCCCCACCCCGCCCCGATCCCAGAACGCCTGTCTCTTTCCCCAACACTCCCTGGTCTCCCTCTCAGATGTGTGCAGCATCCTGTTCCCATCTGCCTCAGGGTACAGAGGGGGAGAAGGGAGGAGGACAGGAAGAGCCCTGTGATGGAGGGGAGGAAATGGGGGTGCTGACCAGGGGGTCTCGGCTGCAGAGGAGCTAGGCAGGGGTAGGGGAGAGAAGCTCACAGAATCCATTTCCACCTAAAATTTCTGGAACCTGGGGCATCACTTCTCTGTGTGGCATTACCAGATCACAGAATATCACACCTGTGACAGGTGCCTGAAGGTGCAGGTGCCCAGGCTTCTCCCTCCCCTGGTGGCTCTGCATGTTCTTCTGGCTGTGTGAGGTGGTGGCAGGTGGTGGGGCAGGAGGACGACAGGCTGACTGGCACAGTTTGGGGGCTCCCAGGGCACTGTCTGGGTGGCTGTGATGTGGCCAAGGCACTCGGAGGGCAGAGGCAGCTCTCCTCACAGAGCTCAGAAAGGGGTCGCTTCCGAGTCATTCTGAGGTTACTGTCAGCTCCCATGACCACTGCTTAAACCAAGCCATGAGTAACACAGCTTCAGAGCATGAGTGACACAGAGCGCCTGCTAATCATGGAAACGCTTGAGCATGAGTGTGCATGCGTGTGTACGTGCACAGGTGTGCACACACATACAGAGCCTCGATAATCCCTGCACAGAGGCCTGGCTCAGGTCACATCCTCTGTTCCATTGAGAAGACGTAGCCCTGAACACAAAGCTGGGAGTCCAAACCAAGGGCTGGGCAACCCCATCAGGGGCAGTGGAATACCAGGAAGGGGCCTCCTAGAGCTGCGGGCCCTGTGGTGCTCGGGGCATTGGTGCTGGGAACCATGGCCATGTGGTGCTGACCTCGCCCCACCGCCTCGCCTGACTTTTAGGGCAGGATTCTGCCCCTGCACCTTTTTAGGGACCTGTCTCTGGGTACAGTGGGGATACGCTGGGGGCACCTGAGGACAGTGTCTGCGCACCCTGGCTATCACCAGAGGTGCTTCCCCTGTGGTCACTTCCGTCAACAGATGGTCTGCCCTTGAGGTGCCCATGCCCCTCACCCACAGGCCCTAGAGACACCGGCGTCGTGACCTCAATCCCACTCCTGCTGGGGGCCCCACCCATGGGTCCCACCTGTTTTAAACCAGCCATCTGGAGTGAACGCGTTTTTCGTTTCTTCTGGCTTGTCCCAGTACTCTCGAAACACAGAGGGCCCCCTGACCAGGAGCTCCCCTTCCTTCTCCTCAAAGCCTGGGGTTACCTGCAGAAGGTGGGAGAGAATGTGCATTAGAGCACACACCTCTTGGTCAGGGTCCCCATGAGCTCACTGCAGGCCCTGTATCCCCCACATCCACTCTATGTCATCGGTTGGCCCCACATCCACCACACACCATCAGCTGTCCCCCGTGTTCACTGCATGCCACTGGCCGGCCCCCACATCCACCACATGCTGTTGGCTGGGCCCCCATGAACACCGCATGCTGTTGATTGGCCCCCATGTCCACCGCTAGTGCTCCAAAGAAGTGCCTGGTCAATGGGGCAGGGGGGCTTGTCCACTCTTCCGATGGGGTTGAGCAGACGTGAGGGAGTGGACACCCCAGACCCTCCTGCCTCAGAGGGTATCCCTGCAACGTGAACCAGCCTCTCCTAGACTGACTTGTATTTAAGCTCTCATGAGCATGGGGCCACAGCTTCAGTCCTGGGGTCAGAGCTGAAGGCAGGAGTGTTTTTGCCAAGTGCCAAGCCTGAGGTGAGCAACCAGAGGGGAACTGAGCTGCACTCAGCTAGATGTCTCCCTCATGGACAGAGACCCTGCCTGATTTCCTCCAGTGCCTAGCACAGAGGACTGGATAGGCATGCTTAGCATCACGCATGCTGCCCCCTCAGGACCACAGGCACAGTGGGGTGCTGCCCCTCAGATCTAGGCTGGGCTCCACCTCGGCAGTGTCTCAAGCAGGACTCCTCACTAACTGCACCCAAAGGTGAGCAGGGAGTGTGGCTGCAGGCCATCTGGGCCAGACTCTGCTGGTGGACCTCAGCATACAGTCCCTTCTCTTGTGTCAGACGAGGACGGTTTAGTGCCAGCATCTCATGCTACTTGAAATGGTGAACATTAAAACAGTGTGTAGAGGGCTCTCAGACCACGTTAATCCACAGGTGCCTCCCAGGATGCGGTGCAGGTGGACTGGACCTTCCTATGCTTTCTGTCTGAACATGAGTGCGGGAGGACTGACCGGTGGAGCCGAGCAGGCTGGCAACCATCCAGGTCTGTCCATCATGCCTCCCCCCGGGACCCAAACCACTTTGGATAGGAGATCAGGTGGGGCTACCATCATTTTCTTTTTAGGGCCAGGAAGACTTTTTTTTTTTTTTTTAAATTGTGCTTTAAGTGAAAGTTTACAATTCAAGTTAGTCTCTCATACAAAAATTTATATGTACATTGTTATGTGACCCTAGTTGCTCTTCCTATACTGTGACAGCACACTCCTCCTTTCCACCCAGGATTTCCCATGTCCATTCAACCAGCTCCTAACCCTCTCTGCCTTCTCATCTCACCTCTGGACAGGAGCTGCCCCTTTAGTTTCATGTATCTACTTGAGCTAAGAAGCACACTCTTCATGAGTATTATTTTATGTCCCAATAGTCCAGTCTAATCTTTGTCTGAAGAGTTGCCCTCGGGAATGGTTGTAGTTTTGGGCTAACAGAGAATCCAGGGGCCATGTCTTCCGGGGTCCCTCCAGTGTCAATCAAACCATTAAGTGCGGTCTTTTTTACTAGAATTTGAGTTCTGCACCCCACGTTTCTCCTGCTCCATCAGGGACTCTCTGTGTTCCCTGTCAGGGTGGTCATTGGTGGTAGCTGGTCACCATCTAGTTCTTCTGGTGTCAGGCTGATGAAGTCTCTGGTTTATGTGGCCATTTCTTTCTCTTGGGCTAATACTTTCCTTGTGTCTTTGGTGTTCTTCATTCTCCTTTACTCCAGGTAGGTTGGGACCAATAATGCATCTTAGATGGCTGCTCACTAGCTTTTAAGACCCCAGATGCCACTCATCCCAGTGGGAAGCAGAACATCTTCTTAATAAACTTTGTTATGCCAGTTGACCTAGATGTCCCCTGAAACCATGGTCCCCGGATCCCCGCCCCTGCTACTCTGTCCCTCGAAGTGTTTGGTTGTATTTAGCAAACTTTTTAGCTTTGGTTTAGTCCAGTTGTGCTGACTTCCCCTGTAGTGTGTGTTGTCCTTCCCTTCACCTAAGATAATTCTTGTCTACTATCTAGTTAGTGAATAACCCTCTCCCTCCCTCCCTATCCTCGTAACCATCAAAGAATGTTTTCTTCTGTGTTTAAACCTTTTCTTGAGTTCTAATAATAGTGGTCTTATACAATATTTGTCCTTTTGTGACTGACTAAATTCACCCAGATTCCTCCATGTTATTAGATGTTTCACGGATTCATCGTTGTTCTTTATCGTTGCATAGTATTCCATTGTGTGAATATACCCTAATTCGTTTATCCACTCTTCCATTGATGGGCACTTAGGTTGTTTCCACCTTTTTGCTATTGTGAACAGTGCTGCAATGAACATGGGTGTGCATATATCTATTCGTGTGACGGCTCTTATTTTTCTAGGATATATTCCAAGGAGCAGGATTGCTGGGTTGTATGGTACTTCTATTTCTAGCTTTTTAAGGAAGTGCCAAATCAATTTCCAAAGTGGTTATACCATTTTACATTCCCCACCAACAGTGTATAAGTGTTCCAGTCTCTCCACAACCTCTCCAGCATTTATTATTTTGTGGTTTTTGGATTAATGCTAACCTCGTTGGGGTGAGATGGTATCTCATTGTAGTTTTGATTTGCATTTCTCTAATGGCTAATGATCATGAGCATTTCCTCATGTGTCTGTTAGCCACCTGAATGTCTTCTTTGGCAAAGTGTCTGTTCATATCCTTTGCCCATTTTTAAACCAGTTTGTTTGTATTTTTGTTGTTGAGGTTTTGCAATATCTTGTAGATTTCAGAGATTAGATGCTGATCGGATTTGTTGTAGTGAAAAATTTTTTCCCAGTCCACAGGTTGTCTTTTACTCTTTTGGTGAAATCTTTTGATGAGCTAAGTGTTTGATTTTTAGGAGCTCCCAGTTATCTAGTTTCTCTTCTGGTGTTTGTGCATTGTTAGTTATGGTTTGCATTCTGTTTATACCATGTATTAGGGCTCCTAGCATTGTCCCTATTTTTTCTTCCATGATCTTTATCATTTTAGATTTTATATTTAGGACTTTGATCCATTTTGAGTTAGGTAATTTCCTCTTTAAAGTTCTCTTGGTCGGTGTAGAGGAATCCAACTGATTTTTGTATGTTTATCTTGTACCCCGATACTTTTCTGAAATCTTCTATTAGTTCCAGTAGTTTTCTAGTGGATTCTTTGGGGTTTTCTGTGTATAAGATCATATCATCTGCAAACAGAGATATTTTTACTTCTTTCTTACCAATTTGGATGCCCTTTATTTCTTTTTCTAGCCTAATTACTCTGGCTAGGACCTCCAGCACAATGTTGTATAAGAGAGGTGATAAAGGGCAGCCAGGAAGACTTTTGGTACCTAAAAAATCACCAAGAACGCCTTTTCTCATTCTCAGGCTAAGTTTCATGAGCTCCTGAAAGAATCTTACAGCAGAAATACTGTCCTTACTTGGGTTCTGAACATGTCCATCCTACAAGGATTCTAGCAGCTTCCCCAACCCAGCCAGTGCCTGGAGAGCCCGCACACGGAAGGAATGGAACTGTCCTTATAAGAAACAGAAGAGCAGACAGACATGCAGAGGGGAGAGGCTATGTGCCCACGAAGGCAAAGACTAGGGTGATGTGGTCACAGGCCAAGGAGGTCCTGGGCCAGTTCAGCAGGATGAGGCAGGAAGGACCACATCTGCCAAGAGTCGATTCCTAAATAAGGTCCAGTAGGAAGTTCTGGGTGGACATGCATTTCTGGGACACGACTGAGTCCACTTTCCAACTATGAGCAGGTGCGGACACCAAGCCTCCTGTCTTACGCAGGAATTAGGGGTCGAGGCTAGGGTAACGTGCTGTGTGTTGGGGACATGGTAGTGGTCAACTGGTCATGCAGGTTGAGGATGGCCTCAGAGGCAGTGCCTTATGTGCAGTCCCAGCCAGCACCCTCTTCTCCAGTCCTCATGATCCCTGGCCATACCCGGGCCACCAACACTATGGCTGGTTCTCCCCCGAGAGTAGCTGTGGCTGGTGTCAGAGGGTCACCATCCCCAGAATGTGCTCATGAAGACAATTCCTCCCCTGAGAGTGGCCATGGCCAGGTGTCACAGTGTTACTGCCCCTGGAATGTGCTTGCAGCAACACTCCCCACCAAGAGTGGCCATGGCCACATGTCAGAGTGTCACCATCCCCAGAATGAGTTCACAGTGACACCTCCCCCAACAAGAGCAGCCGTGGCTGGGTGGCAGAGCATCACTGTCCCCAGAACGTGCTCACAGTGACACTCCCCACTGAGAGCGGCCGTGGCCAGGTGTCAGAGTGTCACTGTCTCCAGAATGTGCCTGTGGCAACACCCCCCACCCCCTAAGAGCAGCCGTGGCCAAGTGTCAAGAGTGTCACCATCCCCAGAATGTCCTCACTGCAATACCCCCCACCCCCTGAAAGCAACTGTGGCTGGGTGTCTTAGCATCACTGTCCCCGGAACGTGCTTGTGGTCTGAGAGCTGCCACTGCCAAGCCTACCACTCCCTTCTGCTTGCTGTCAGCAAAGATCTGCTGAGAAGCCCCAGGGGAACATGATAACTCCCAAACTCCAACACACGGCCATCCCAACAACTTTAACCCAAAGTCCAACTTGGTCGCTCTGCAGGAGGACATTTCTGGGAGAAGACATCGGGGTCCAGATAGGCAGGCCATGCACCAGGTGGAAGTGGGGCTGCATGAAGGCTGAGAAGCACATGTGGAAGGGTGGGGTTGGGCAGGGAATGCAGCCCCCCCACCAAAGCCCTGTCTCTGCTTGGGTCCCTAATCAGTACCCCGGGCTCCCACTGCTGCTCTATGTCCTTCTGAATGGTTCTGGGTGTGGGGGAGAGGCAGGGGCTCACAGAAGTCTGATCCCTAGGGAACTGCCCATGCTGGGGGCTGGGGCAGCCTTTGAGACCCCAGCACTGCCCCCCGGCCAGATTGCAGGACACCGGCACATGCCTGTCACCAGGCTCGGATGACACTCATGGGAGAAAAGCTGCACAACTGCTCAGATGCTGGGTTCTCTCGATGTCCTTCAGAGAACACCTTGTGTGGCGGCTGCATGTGTGGCTGGACAGAGGGGCTAGAGGAGCATCTGAAGTCTGTTTTCCATTTGGGGTCAGTGCCACCCCTGACGGACTTGTAATAGAGACTAGGGTACCCACCACGCCTAAAAAGACAAGGAGAAGCAGCCTGCTGCCAGTCAGTGTCTATGGGTACAGTGTTATGTCCCCTGCCCGTGGGTCCTATGTGGCCTCGTGACAGATGGCAGTGAGGAGTCAGTAAGGGGAACAGAGGGAGGGGAGTGGAGATGCTGGTGGCCAGGGGTGGGGACAAGCAGCAGCAGAGTAGCCTGCCATCCAGAATGACAGCTCGCATATGGATGAACAACAAGATAATTAATTTTTTTAGGGGAAAATAAAGAGAAGCAGGCTGCCGCCGCCTCCTGCTGCCAGTTCGCCCCCACGCCCCCCATGCAGTCCTTCACCTCCTTACAAGAGGAAGCTGCTCTGTGGGACAGCCCAGTGGCAGGGTGGCATCACGTACAGCTGTGCAGCATTTATCTGCTGACAGAGACCCATTGTCACTGGCTGGTGTTGGTGCTCGTGTAAGTGAGCAACTCGAAAAATGAAAAATAACCAGACAATGCCCACTGTGCTTGCATGCTTATAGGCAGTAGACAGCTGGGGAGCTGACATGAAATATGCATTGTGGTGGACAAGGCACACAGTGGCACTGGGAAGGGGGTGGGGAAAGAGGGATACAGGGGGAGATGAGGGGGTAGGGAGGAGATGAGGGGTACAGGGGGAGATGAGAGGTATGGGGAGACAAGCGGAATGGGGGAGGTAAGGGGCAGGGGGAATGAAGGGGGATGAAGGATACAGATCAGGGGGAGATGAGGAGATGGGGGGAGATAAGGAGATGGGGGGAGATAAGGGATACAGGATGAGGGGATGAGAAGGGTGGGGGTGATGAAGTGGGTGGGGGGTAAGGGGGAACCACTCCCCAGCTAGCAGGCAGAGCAGCAAGAATCCCCCAACAATGCTCAGCCTGAGAGCAGGGCACGCTGGGTGGGAGCTGTGGAGGGGGAGCATCTCCCCATTAAACTCAGAACCCGTCTAGGAGCGAAGGGAGGGGTCGCCAACTTCAGGCATTGCAGGACTTAGGAACCATGCACAGCCAAGGAGCTGGGCATGGGGCAGGGCTGCGACAGAGAGGGTAGCACCTCCGAGCATCCTCCCGAGTCAGCTCCCTGGCACATATGTGCAAGTCCCCGAGCCAGGGGCCCCAGCACATGTCTGTGCATGGTCCCCAAGCCAGTGGCCCCAGCACACGTCTGCACATGGTCCTCAAGCCAGCAGGCCCAGCACACGTCTGCACGTGGTCCCCGAGTTGGTTGCCCTGGCACATGTCTGCACACAGTTCCGGAGTCAGCTCTCCAGCAGTCTGAGCACAGTCCCCGAGCCAGCGTACCTTGGTCTCCCTCTCGTTTCCCTCCGCGTGCACAGTGTAGGAGCAAGCCTCCCTCTGTGGGTTCTCTGAGACAATACGCACCTCCACTCCTGGCAGTGGGGTCCCCACAGAACCTGCAGGAAAGGGGAACAATGAGAGACGAGAAGACAGGGTTAGAGGGGTGAAGGAGAGATGAGGGGCCCCCATGGGCACCGTGATGTGTGGGCTCCAGTTCATGGGGTGGGGGTGGGGGGTGCGAGCCACATGCCGAGCAGCCAGTGAGACAGACACAGGCCCATCAAGACCGGCATGGACAGTCATGGCGACCACGGCACCTGAGGCTGACGCGAACAAGCCCTGACCCTCCACCAGACACCCTGTAGTCGCTACATGTCCTTGGAATACCACAACCACTGCAGGACACCCGTCTGCTGCGGGACACCCCTCTACTATGGTACATCATGTCCGCTATGGAATACCAGTTTACTTCAGAACACTAGTTTACTGTGGGACATCAGTCCGCTGGGGGACACCGAGAGCAGGTCCTGTGGCATCTCCATGTCCACTATAGGCCCCACCCCTTAGCCTCGTCTCACGATCCATGCTCTGTGAGCATCAGGCTTGGAGTGTGTCATAACAGAAGGGCGTCTATGGAAGGGCACAGCCTATACCGAAGGGGAGTGGTCCCAGCTCATGCACACTAGTACCCTGACTCACACCCTGAGCACAGTGTGGCTTCTCGAGAGGCTGCTTCTGTCTGGAGAAGATGCAGCCTGAGCATTCTTAGTGGCCGGCTCTGTCAACCCGTTGAGCTGGCGCTCTGGCTACCACCAGGCACTTAGGGCTTTGTAGTGTGCCCTGCCCACTCAGAAGCCTGCTTAGGGATGCCAAAAATCAGACTTGGCCTGCAGAGTGGGGCTGGGTCCAGAGGCACTGTTGTGCTTGTCCATCGTGAGAAGCAGGGGGCATGGTGCCCACAGGCCTGACAGTGAGGCGGCAGGTGTCTATGTCTGCTGGGGGCCCTGCTGGCTGGAGGCCAGCCCAGCCACCTCTCCTCCCTTACCTCTTTGCCCACTTATTTCTTATGTGGATTTTTTAAAAGAAACTTTCCAAGCTTCTGCACATCAAGGCTTTGTTCAATAAGGCCTTTTCCCTCTCAAATCCAAGTTAAAAACCACTAAAGAGGTCCATGATGAAGATGCTGATGGTATATTAACCACAGCACCACCAAGGTGATGTGGGAATGAAAACCTCCAGGCAGAGAGGAGGACTTCCATTTCCAGACCTACGGTGAGCCACAGAGAGGTCCACATGGTGACGAGGTGCAGCTGAGAGTGGGGCAGTCATGGTGGGTCCCTAACCTGTCCCTGGTAGGTCTGTGTTAACCAGACAGCCACTGGCCCTCCCAGTGTCAGCATGGATGGCCGGTGGCCCCCCAGCACTGGTGTAGATGGCAGGTGGCTGCTCAGCGTTGGTGTGGACAGTGGTGCCGGGTGCGCTGGGGATAGGTGGCACTGCTAGTCTTCCCACAGTCCCCCCTCTTTAAACTGATGTCCATTCTTCCCAGATGATGCTAACTGGCCCCGTGTGGGTATCTGGGGATGTGGCGTGCTCTGCAGGCCGGGCCCCCAGGAGTGGTGTCGGGGTGAGCCCTGCAGGCCCTGTCAGTGCTCTGCGGAGCCCTGTGCCCCAGCTGTGAGGAGCGTCTGATCTCAGCACCAATTAGCGTGCCGTCAGCCAGCAGGGGCTAGGCATGGATTACTTATGGCCTTCACGGCACTCAGCAGTGTGGGTGTTCATCTTGTGCCCTCTGCTCTCCTCCCAGACAACTGTGCATGCCAGAGTCTTCCACAGAAGAGGCTCGGACTTGTCTGTGCCGGGGAGGAGGCAGGCAGTTGGCCAGAAGAGACCCTGGGCTGGGTGGCGGGGCCCAGGAGAGCATCCAGTCCTGGCTGTGGCTTGTCCATGCTGTGTGGGTGCTCGGTGGTAGGGCAGAGTCCAGGAAGACCACCACACCCTAACCAGTTAGGACAAGGGTGAGTGCTGGAAGCTGAGGCCCACTCCAATACACAATGGCCTCCTTGCTCTTTTGATGTGGCTGCCATGCTGGTCACAGCAGAAACAAGGACCCAGGTGGGGCAGGATACCCTGAAGGCCCTGGGCTGGTGGTTCCAGAGATCTGATGCTGACCTACTTGTCCCTCACACCGACTCCTTTCCATAATCACGCCTGGCCTCTTATGTCACCTCTGCGCCCCTGCACCCACGATGGAGCAGCCTCCCAGGCTCAGCCTCAGTGCGGATGCCTTTCTGTGGGGTTGGTCTTGAGGACAAAGCCAAGGCCATCCCACCACTGGGAGGTCCAGCACCCCGAGGCTCCTGAGAGCCCCGTTCTCACCTGCTGAGCCATGCGCATGTGTGTAAATCACAGCACAGTCTTGCTCTGAACCAGCCCCGGAGGAGTGGTCACGTCCACAAGGCGTGGCCTCTGCTTAGGAATTCGTACACACTTTTGCATCCATACCTGTTAAGGAGCCTGGAAAGTAGGTGAGCCGGGGTGATGCACACCAATGGGTAACAGAAACAGCAGAAAGGCTGGGAGGGGGAGAGTTCTGACACTATATGTTAAGCAGTGTAATGTTACCTAAAGGTACGTTGTGTTAAGTTCAAGACATACACTAAATCCCTAAAGCAACTATCAAAAAAAAAAAAAAGTATAACTAGTAAGTCGACAAAGGAGATAAGATGGAACCATAAACAACCCCCCCCAAAGAAGGTAGAAAAAGAAGAAAATGGGAACAACGAACAAATAGAAAACAAATAGCAAGATGTTAGATTTAATCCAACCATAATAATAATCACACTAAATTTAAATGGTCTGAGTACTCCAATTAAAATGCAGAGATTGTCATATCAGTTTTTTAAAAAAGAAAAAGAAAGACTCAAGTATATGCTGCCTTCAAAAAACCATTTAAAGTATAAAAACACAAATAGGTTAAAAAGTGAAAGGATAAAAAAGTACACAAAGCAAACACTCTCAAAAGAAATCTGGAGTGGCTATATTACTATCAGACAAAGTAGATTTCAGAGTTAAGAGTAAAGAGGGTCACTTCATAATGATAAGGGGGTCAGTTTATCCAGAAGACATACAATCCTAAATGTTCACACACCTAGTAACAAAGCTTCAAGATTTATGAAGCAAAACTGACAGAACTAAAAGGAGAAAACAAACAAATCACAACTGTATTCAGATGTTGCAATACCCCTTACTGCAGAAGAAAATACCTGGTGATTTGCTCCTGTGAAGATTCAGCCTAGGAAATCCTATGGGGCAGTTCTACCCTGTCCTATAGGGTCGCTGTGAGTTGGAATCAACTCGATGGCAACTAACAACAACTCTCAAAAATCGATGAAACAAGTTGACAGAAAGTCAGTAAGGGCATAGAAGACTTGAGCCACACTATCAAACAACTTGACCTAATGGACATTTATAGAACATTTGTCCAATAACATCAGAATACACATTCTTTAAAACACACACAGAACATTTACCAAAACAGACTATATTCTGGGTTATAGAACAAGTCTCAGTGAATTTAAAATTATTCAAATCATACAAAGTATGTCCTGTGTGGAATTAAATTAAAAATCAGTAAGAGATCTGGAAAATCCCCAAATATCTAGAAACTAAGTAGCATACTTGTAAATAACCTATGGATCAAAAAAGAAGTGGAAAGGGTAAAATATTAGAAAGTGTTTTGAATTAAATAAAAATAAAATCACAACACAAACATTTGAGATATAGCTAAAGCAGTACTTGGAGGGAAATTTATAGCGCTAAGTGCCCATATTAGAAAAAAAGCTTCAAATCAATGGTGTTGGCAGTCTGGCTAGAGGTTTAGCAGTTTTATTGATATTCTCAAAGAATCAGCTTTTGGTTTCATTTATTTTCTCAATTTTTTTTTTTCTATTTCATTTCTTTCTTTTCTTTAACCTCCTTTCTTTTGCTTACTTTGGAGTTTAATTTGCTTGCTTTTTTCCAGTCTTTTGTTATGGAAGCTTTGTTGTTGTTAGGTGCTGTCAAGTTGTTCCAACTCATAGCGACCCTTTGTACGACAGAATGAAACACTGCCCCGGTCCTGTGCTATCCTCACGATCACTGGTGTGTTTGAGCTCACTGTTGCAGCCACTGTGTCAATTCATCTAATTGAGGGCCCTCCTCTTTTTCACTGACCCTGTATTTTACCAAGCATGATGTTCTTCTCCAGGGGCTAGTCTCTCCTGACAACATGTCCAAAGTACATGAGACAAAGTGTTGCCATCCTTGCTTCTAAGAAGCATGCTGGCTGTACTTCTTCCAAGAAAGATGTGTTCATTCTTCTGGCAGTCCATGGTATATTCAATATTCTTCACCAACACCATAATTCAAAGGCATCAATTCTTCTTTGTTCATTGTCCAGCTTTCGCATGCATATGAGGTGATCAAAAATACCATGGCTTGGGTCAGGTGCACCTTAGTCCCCAAAATGACATCTTTGCTTTTTAACACTTGAAAGAGGTCTTTTGCAGCAGATTTGCCCAATGCAATATGTCATTTGATTTCTTGACTGCTGCTTCCATGGGCATTGATTGTGGATCCAAGTAAAATGAAATAATTGACAACTTCATTATTTTCTCAGTTTATCATGATGTTGCTTATTGGTCCAGTTGTGAGGATTTTTTGTTTTCTTTACTTTGAGGCATAATCCATACTGAAGGCTGCGGTCTTTGATCTTCATTAGTAAGTGTTTCAAGTCCTCTTCACTTTCAGCAAGCAAGGTTGTGTCATCTGCACACAGCAGGTTGTTAAATGAGTCTTCCTCCAATCCTGATGCCGTGTTCCTCTTCACATAGTCCAGCTTCTCGGATTATTTGCTCAGCATGTTGTTGGGTACTGTCAAGATGGTTCCGATCCTTAGCAACCCCATGTGACAGAGTAGAACAGACCCATAGGGTTTTCTTGGCTGTAATCTTTACAGAAGTAGATTACCAGGTCTTTCTCCCATGGAGCTGCTGAGTGGGTCTGAAGCACCAACCTTTTGGTTAGCAGCCAAGTACTTAACTGTTGTGCCACCAGGGATTCCTGGTAATGGCAT